CACTGTGCGTCGCACGCTGACAACAACAGCACGTGTTTAAAGTGCTTTCTACAGTTTCAACCAACACAGTTACGTGGCCAATGTGCKGTTCCGCAAAGCGAAAAAATAACTTCTTGAAAACAAATGCCTACCGAGTTATCACCTCCATGTTTCCTCCCCATTTGCCGTACGTGTGATCGTAGTAAACAACTCGAAACGGAAAATGTACTTTTTGAAGTTTTCGCAGCGTTCTTTTGTCGTTTGTCGTGCGCCGCTTGTCACTCAACATAATTAAATATATTTTAAAAACAAAGCGTAACAAAAAACCAGCAAACAAAAATCGCAAAAACAAAATACGCCACAGAAAAGGCAGAATCTGCATTACTCATTGCTCAATTAGAATAATTCATTTGCTGACGCTTGTCTAACTCGCCGAAGGTGCGCGTGTTAAAAGATAAAAAGAAACAAAGTCAACAGAAACATACAAAAAAAATAAAATAAAATAAGATTTCAAAGAGAACATTCAAAAAGAAATTGCCTGAAAAGTTGGTCTAAAACTAAAGAATTATTTTMATATATATAATTGCAATTTATTGTCACAGCTGTTGCACAACACGAAAAAAACGCGAATGCAATCGTTTGCCAAGGAGGGACGTCAGTGGTCGTGCGTTTTCTTCTGATGTGTTTCGCGCTAGAAAATCTTCACCCAGTGCAACTGCAAAGAAGCATTAAAAGTATGTTCCAAATATAAAACCCGAATTAGTAGTCGAACGTGCGCCGTACCCGATCTGTGCTGTTCTTAAAGTGTCCTAATTAGTGATCTTGCAGTTAACTCCCTTCTGATTTATGTGATATATTTGCAAAAGTAACAAAATACAAAGCAAAAACTTCATTACAACAACATGCTGCGTRTTGAAAGATTTGACTTTTTACCGTTACGGAGAGTAATTGTCATACTGCTTTTACTTGTCTTCGCGACACAAAAGATCTGTGCTAATAATAGTCTCGCCGTCAACCGATCAGGTATGTGATAATGTTTATAWATATAATATGCATATCCATTTACTTATGTATTTTATTGTTCTAGACGAAAATATTTTTTTTTTTTTAATTTTTGTTTCGCTAATAATTATCACTTTTATGGGTCAAAAGTTAATACAATAAGATATTTCACTATAAAAAAAAGTACATTTAAAATACTGTTTAATGTCAAAATTATGAATATAAATATCTGGAGGAATAAGGCCATATGGTGGTTATATTAAAATACAGTTTCAAAAGACAAAATCGAAAGAGGTTGAAAAAAAAACAAACAAAGTGAGGGCCTTACAGTAGTGTGTTACTTAWTCTCTATCCTCGGACTTTCGGGACGTCTTCTGACATTGTCTCACCAATTTTTCCAAAATCACACAAAATATGTAAGTCAGACAATATCGAATCGGCCACTTTAAAGTTAGCTAAAATGAAGTTTATTGTTGACCTTCTGAAGATATAAAGATTCTAAGAGAATATCCTTTCAATATGATGACTGAACGACAGGGGACACACCAAAAGAAAAAGAAATGAATCCGAGAATTTTCTTGTTTATCCACCTTTTAAACCTTCTCTGGACWTCAACAAATAATTCCAGAACAAAATTAGCCATATCGGTCTAGCCGTTCTCGAGCTTTAGCGAGACTAACCAAAAGCAATACATATCTATATATAAAGATGAAAAAACGCGCAGRGAGAATCGATATATATTTTGATAATTAGAAATAATAGAATAGAAATTAATTACATAATTATTACATCATTACAACTTAAATAAGCAAAGCACCGTCCGCCTTTCAAAACTGCCGGACCAAATCTGACAAAACTTTTTATATTTAATCCTCTGATTCTCGTGTTGCAGTGCCTGCCTGTAAATTACCACCGATGCCTTTGCTCTGCGACAATAAGCTGCACCGTTATGCCTACAATGCCGCTACCGGAAATTGTGTGAGTCTCTATACMAGCAGCTGTGCTACAAATACAATGACGAAACATTTTCTCACCTTCGAGGAATGTCGACGCGATAATATGCCAATAATGCGCTATTAAATGATGGTGCATACCAAAAGTCCATTTCAAATACCGATGAAATAAAGGAAACATTCCGATTTGAAAAAATCCTTTTAATTTTAATACGCACACTAATATATAAATATTTATATTTTAAAATTATTTTAAATATTACGTATATAAATAATAAAAATATTAAGTAATTGTGTTTGGTGAGTACTTAATCTTACAAAAAAAAAACCTGCATTTTACCCAACATCGCCCTTCCCTTCTGCGTATCAATAGCACTATCACAAATATATGTACGCGTACTGCATCAATTTTCACTGCGTACTGTACCTGTGTGTATAGGGTTGGTGTCTGTGGTTTTAGCTTTGCTATTTGTACTGTACATGCGATCGTGGCGGTTTGCGACTCGGCTAGATGTGATGTTTGTTGACGTTTCTGGGCGCCTGGTGCAAATCGTGAAATTGTAACATTCGCGGCGATCGCCYTCAGCCACTCAGGGGTGACCAGAACAAAATTTTAATTTTATGTCTGAATAAGTTGCAAATAACGGAAATAAACTGAAAAATAATAGTAAAATATTCTAAAAAATATTAAAAATGTTTTATTTTTTTTAATATTATTATGCGTAATTACTACTTTATACATTTATTGTTCAAAATATTAGTATATTTTTTTAAATAAATACGTTTTAAAAGAATTTAATGCYTTTTAATCACAACGATCAACATAAGCAGGTGTTAGCTAATCCTACTTGAATCAGTAAACTCATATTTATTCGAATTTCACAATCTTTTTTCAACTTTAACAACAACAAAAACAAACCAAATATTTCTTTTGAATGAACACAGAGGTGTAAACTAGGACATGCCGTCATATTRCATGGTGATAACTTAGACTTTCGAYTACCTTAKAAGATATCACGAATAATGGCGTATAAATCGGAAAATATATATATTTCTTGGGCCAATTTGATCATAATGATGCCATGTTGTTATATGTTATGTATGTTACATATCTGAAGCGATATCTTTTCATTACCTATTGATATATTTTCCGGGTGATCATAAGCATTGTTATTTATACAAAGTTTGTAGCGTTCAAAAGAGACCTGTTTTTGAGATAACGATCTTTTTCGGAAGCACTATCAAATTTTTTAATTGCACCTTTGCTATTTACTAAGATATGTATCTTTATGAAATTTGGCATAGATTATTGTCTAAGACACGTAAGGCTGGTTTTAAAACTGTCGGAACACGGGAAAGCCATAAAGCTAGCCTAAGTATAATGCAGATAACTTCACAATTAATATCTACATCGGTTCGCATATGGACCAAAAGTATCTTTGGAAGCAGGGCAACAGTAGAGAATTTCGCCAGGCACAACCGTCTTGACTTCTACTGGGTGCCAAATCACAAAGGCATAGRCGGCAATGAGTTAGTGGATGGGATTGCCAAGAGTGGTGTACGGCTGTYATGTCTTTAAAACGTGGCGTGGCATAGCACGAAGGGTTAAAATTCGTTGGWATGATCTATTGGAATGCAAAACAACAAAAGTCATGTTCAAAGCGTTCAAAAATACACTAAGTTCCAAATAATTTTCAATTGAAGAGACTAGAAACATGATTGGAATACTCACTAGTCACTGTTCGGTGGTGGCACATGCATGCAGAATGGGGCTGATAGATCGATATACCTGCAGGAAATGTAGTGAGACCGCAGAAGCTATGGAAATTCGCACCAAGCGCTTGCATTCTGATGGATTACTTCACATGAACTACGTAACGGTACTCCATCTGGCACTGTCAATAACCAATGTTAGTATATGCGTGGCTCACGAGCCTGCCATAGTAAGCTAACATCACCTCTTGTCAAAAACAGCGCCATACTTTCCGAATAAATTGTTGARATAAGGTCACTTTAGAATGCTGCTGCCATTTAAACTGGCCTTTCTGCTTTTGAAGTAGCCGCAGAGCATGTTTCGGGTTCACAACGTGCCGTTTCGCAATCTCATTGACCGCCGCTGCTGCCTTGGACGTTGCCGGTTTGTCGTACGCGTGCTTGACGCCTATCTTCTCGGCTACGTCTTTACACATCCTCTTTTTCGAGGACGCCTTAATTTCACTTTCCATTGAGCGCTGCCGCTTTCCAACGATGTGCTTTTCAATGCGATTAGCATACGCTGGAGGCATTACACCAATTGCGAGTTTCTCCTCGTCTTCCTTCAGGCTTGACTTGCTTACGAAGCGGTTACATATTCCAACCACCGCCTTTTATCTCGATTTTGCCTTCAACCCCTCCTTGCTTGGCTTCTTCCAGGGCCCTCTCTTGTTACCAGAGTGGGAACCCTCGGCCTGCACAGAAGAGCGGAAAAGTTCTTCCSTTTCTGCATTTATGGTATCAGTGACCTGTAAAGCTGATTTGGCAATAGCACTATAACCACCGCAAACTGCTTCCGTTTCAGAGGAGGTGTGGCCGCTGGCGACACAGCTAATGCGATCGCTGTGCCCGCCTTTGGTTGCACCCTCGTCTCCCACCTATGTTTGGACCGATATTCCGGTCCGCTTCGTTTTATTATCTTCCTCCAAGGCGAGTCTTGGATTCAGAGGTCTCTACCCTCAGCCTTTTATACATACCGCCAGGTACCTCATTAGCAATGGCCGCTGTATTAGACATTCACCTACTTCTGAGGATGCATATAAAGCACTCCAACATAAGGGGATATACGTCAGCCTCCGCTAAGAGCCGCCCGACTGCAATGTAATGACTCTACCAGAAGCCAATTTGAGATCATGGCATTCTAAGCAGCGACACTCATTGTCCAGTCGACACCCTCTGGGGGATACAGCTAAGAGGATTTTTGCCGACTACAATACCTATGACTCAGGTGAAGTGGTTCTTAAAGTGCCTCAGAAATGGATGCTGTGTGAAATATGGAGGAACTTTCCTTAAAGAGTGAAAGTATTTCAGTTTTTATAGGAACCAATCTGCCTTGAGAGAATATATACTTTTGTTTAATTAGTCAATTACAAAGTATTCGATAACTCTTCAACTGTATATATCCAACTATATATCATTGCAACTCTGTTCAAATTGCATATTCAGAACGCATTTACAGTTACAATTAACACAAATGTTAGAATTGGGTATTTCCATAATTATTAACTGCTGTTATTTTTTGTGATAATTTTTACACTTTACTACTACAACTTAGCTACTGAGTCATTTATCGTATAGAAAATCACACTTATGATATAAGATAGAATGTATGTGGCATATGTCACATACTACAATTTATACCCGATAGTTCAATTTAGAGAATGAGAAAACTCTGCATTTGGAAAATAGCGATTCAGAGTTGTAAATTGATCCTTGAGCAAATAAGTAAGTAGAAGCAGTGGAGTTAATATCCGTATGATCRAACTTGCCTGAAATCGAACTATTTGTATTTACGTGGTTTTATTAGAAGATATTTCGCCGCAAATACTCTTTTAGCCTCACCTATTCTMGTCTAATTATACGACAATTAGTAAAAGCCATCACTAATATAGTAGTATAGGCTTTAATTGTCTCTAGATGCATCGCACGAGTCAGTACTTGGACCTAACCCAACTTAATTTATTAAAGTATTCACTAATTACCATCAAAAATTATACTACAAAAATATAACTACAATTAGTTCAAATTGACTTTGTAATATGTTGATAGCTCATTAAGTACTTGTGATTAACTCGTCCCAAACGTTTCACTTGTTGATTCATCATTTGTTTAAATTATCATACATATACATATGTATTTATCGAAAATGGTGTATGGCAATAGACATTTGCTATTAATTAGTAAGCTGTTAATTATTCTGTTTATATATAGTTTATAATTTTCAGCAAAACTTCATAGTGGGCTAGTCGAAAAGGCTTGTATTTTATATACAGTTAATACACATTTCTCGTAAATTTTTCCAAGCTGATAATGTTGATGTTTAGAGTACTTTAAGTCCAAACTCCGGAATCCCTCGGACATCACAGTCCTATTGATACTTTTGCGGATAAGACGAAGCTTTTGGAGTACTTTAAACACGTTTCCCTCGAAACTGTGTATTGGAAGACGATTGGCAAGATTTCCAGAGGACTATTCAACTGATCATAATGAAATATTACASATGTCTTTGAGATTTCGATTACAACTATTTGAAAAAAAAATAATTCCACGATATTTTCACTGAAATTTTCCTTTTTTGTTAAAATGTCTGCCAAAAAGCCAATTTTCAGTTTTTATCCTTCGTCCAAGTTCTAAGCTAAGCACCTATGTAATCTCTTATAACACTTAATCGATAAGCGCCGGCACTTTTTATCCACACCTAGGGTTTCGACATCATAAATAACCGGCCTTTCTAACTATTCAAATGCGATCATTCGTGCCTTCACAATTATCAGCTTGATTAACTAACCTAATATATCCCAAGCTTCAAATCGCAATAAACTAATAAAAAAAAACATGATCAATAAATAAGAAAGGGTTTACTTTCAACCGATTTGGAATGCACTAGTTAGTAGTTCTGAGCATCACAAGGGACCGTCGTTTTTAGTATACAAGGGGATCAGTCGTGGCTTCACGTATAAAAGCCTTACCTTAGCTTACCAAAGCTAACCTATCCCAACTTTTAAATTGCAATTAACTAATTAAATTTAGAAGGGCAATCAGTTAATAAAAAAGGGCTATTAACTTGTTTGCAACCAGCCGGTTTTTAATGCATTACTTTATTACTACAAAATTYGAAATAGAACAAGTGAGTATTGTAAAGTAAGGCATTCTCTACTACCCTTCCGCAACTTGTTTTACTGTCAGTTAAATTACCATTTAAATTCACACAACAATGTAGATGTGTAAGCAACTCCGAGCGTGCAAAAAAGTAAGAACGCCGAGCTTTTCGCCTAAAACTTTTCAATAATTTTTTGAGCATATTAATAGTGGTTATGATAGTTTCCAAATAGTTGTTACATCAAGTTTTTTCTATACTGATATATAGTACTAAAAATATGGAATATATATATTTATACGAGTATAATAATTATTATAATAGAGTAATAAATACATTGGAAACATATGGGTTCTAACAATCCTATTCAACAATGAAGACCAAATACGACATTTGCCCTATTAGCTAACTATTATCCATTTCAAGCTGATAAATCAAAATAATGTGTGTTATTTACGATTAATTATGTGAAATATAAATTATAATATTCCAAATATTGAAGCATAYTTTTACGGTAGTTACAGATAAACTATAATTGTGATTTATTTATACAAGAACTATGTAATGGGCATTTCAAATTCAAATTTCCTACCTTATAACAATTTCTTTAATCAGTTAAAGCCCTATCATTTTAAAGTATGTCCAGATAGGAAAAAATTTTKAGTTATTATCTTATTGACTCGCTTTCAATATGATTCTGAATCTAATAATTAAACCAAGAGTGATGTTCTGGCCAACAGGTGGTACTTGGTACAAAATCCAAACTCTATAAGTCACTYATAATTCYCGTCCTGCTATATGGTGCAGAGGCTTGGACGATGACAACAACTGATGAGTTGACGTRGCGAGTTTTCGAGGGAAAAGTTCTGCGGAAGATTTATGGCCCTTTACATATTGGCAACGGTGAATACCGCAGTCAATGGAACGATGAGCTGTACAAGATATACGATGACATTGACATATGTAGTTTAACGAATTAGGAGACAGCGGCTACGCTGGCTAGCTCGTATCGTCCGAATGGATGAAAACACTCCAGCTCTGGGACTATTAGACGCAGTACCCACCGGAGGTTGCAGAGGAAGAAGAAGACMTCCACTTCTTTGGAGATTTCAAGTGGAGAAGGACCTRGTTGCACTTTGTATCTCGAATCGACTGGCGCGCTGCTGTAAAYTCGGTTATAACTGCGTAAACGGTGTCTACTCCAGTAAAGAAGAAGCTTTTAGACGATTTAAGAGATAGTAACACCAATCGTAATGTGTCTCAATATAAAAATTTTAAAAAGCATGAAAAAATTTGTATTAAGGGAGGTTTTTAACAGTTCCTACCATAAAAAAGTCTCGAAGCTATTGATCATTGCGAATTAGCCTTAAGTACTAATAAAGGTTAACTATTTTTATTTACTAGAAGATACAAAATCCCTGAGGTTACTCTCCCCACGTTGGGCGGGATTTTCTCGTTAAACAGGTAGTACTTGGGGCTTATCCTTTATATGAAGCTCTAATGGAAGCCAAATATCGAGGAGAGTGTGAGGAAGGCATCAATCGCCTTTTATTGTTGTAGGGAAGCCGTTGGAAAAAGATGGTGGCTCTCACCAAAAATGATGTAGGGTAGTGGTGGCTCTATGAAAGCATATAATGTTTTATACGCTGTCTGGTGGGGCTTTTGAAAAAATCATTCTAGCTAAGCAATTTCAGCCTGTTCCAAATTATACCGTTACTTTGAATTCRAATTGAGAGARRATATATCGTCGAATAACAAAAGTTGTTCATACAAGGACATGATTCTAAACGTTTGGTTGTATAGCAGATATATGTATGTTATATTGATCATTTATCGGTGGTTCCGATAAATGAGCAGTCTCTTGGGATATATATACAGTCAGTCAAACAGACGACTAAAGCGAATCATTGCGTCTTGCTGATAATTTATATATACATATTAACGGGTCCCGCACGTTTCCTAATTGGTATTGCAAACTTCGTAGCAAACTTCATATGCCCTGTTTAGGGTATAAAAATGCGCATGCATTAATGGCAGGCATGTTTTACTTGAGGGCAGCGAAAATTAAATCCATAAAAAGGGAATACGGCAATTCGAAGTTACTCTTCCACTTATTTATTATGCAATATACCAAAACACCTACGCATACATATGTACATACATACATATATATGGAGGATGCACTTATCCTTTACGCAACGATGAAATTACGAAGCCAAGTGGGAAAACTGAAGTTGTGTGCAAAAGACTTTAACGAAACAAGTTTAATTTCGTTGTATTTTTTTGTTGTTGCAAAACTWAAAAAAATAAACAAAACATTACATAACAACAACAACAAACACTTTGAAGACTGTGTGAAGTGAAGACAAAGTGTGTGACTAAATGTTTTTTGTTTTTCTGTTTTCTATTTTCTGTTTCTGTTTTTTTTTTTTTTTTTGTTTTGTTTTCTAGTTTCTTCTTTTGTTTCTGCCCGATTTGTTTTAATTTATGTGTTAATTAATCTTGCAGTTGCCTTATCAAAGTCTGCTCCGAAATTTCTCATATTTATTATTCTAGATGTGTATAAGAGACAGGTGTTAATTAATCTTGCAGTTGCCTTATCAAAGTCTGCTCCGAAATTTCTCATATTTATTATTCTAATTTAGGCATCAATTATGAACACACACACAGCTTTACCGTCTGTTATTGTTTATTATTTCCTTTCTGTTTAGCATATGCCGGACCGGTGTTGACCGTAGGTCAAGTTTTCGAATCAAACAAACGATCTCAGAAGCGCCGAGCGCGATATACTATATGTGTGTGTGTGGCTGTGTGCAGTGACAAACAGGCGTTAATTGCAAAATCAGCTGAAGGCTGGGATTCACTTATCAATCGGCTACAACAACAATACACGGCAAGTATTTGCACATTGCAGCGTTGACTTTACATTGCCTTGCTTCACACTTATAGAATTTATTTTTACACACACTCGCTCAAACATACATAAGTACATTAGGCTTTAACACAGGTAACTCGTCCGAGTATTGTGGCTCAACAGCGCCCTCAACTTGTATATAAGCATTGATTTCGAGGGCTTGCTGGCATTCAGTAGCAAAGCGTCTGTCAACGCATTAACAACAACTACTTAACGTCAGCCTCAAGTCAAATCAAATAAACAGCAGCAAGATGAAATGCACACTATTCGCCTATGTATTCGCCATAATCGCTTTGTTGTTGTGCGCCAGCGTACAAGCCCTTGACAAGTCGGGTGAGTAGATCGGAGAGCAGAATTGGCAACTAATTTGAATTTACATTTCACTTTTCAATACCTTTCACTTTCAACCTAAACATACCTCGATATTTTATGTTCTTCGTGCACAGCTTGCTCGCAGCCCAAAGATGTGGGTCCATGCCGTAAATCCGATCCGAAGGTCTTCTACAATAGCGAATCGAAGGCCTGTGAGGACTTCATCTATGGCGGTTGCCAGGGTAATGACAATCGCTTCGACACCAAAGAGCAATGTGAGAAGCTTTGCCTTTAAAGCGTTGCAACCAATGTATATCGATAAATTACACAATCGATTGTGTTGTACCAATTGAGGCGTTTAACTGTCGTTGATGCAAATGAGCATGAATATAAGTATGAGTATGAGTATTTGTTAAATAATTATTATTTCACTTTTGTTAATAAACAGTTAAGTTGCGCAACATTTGTTTATAAATACACACTGTGTATTATTTACATACAAAAAAAAAAAAGACAGTGGAATGTGATTGCGCTTAATTGCTCGGTATGAAATTGATTTTATGCGCAATTAAAAAAAATTATAACTAAAATTATGAACGAGAGGTGTTTATTAGCAACCTGTTGCAGATCATGTGAAATCGATATGTATGTATAACACGTCGTAACAGTTTGCGGTATAAAACGATGAAGCAGTCATGATTTTCGTGAGGGGGAAATAAGAAAAATGTTAACGGTCAGTTTGCAAGGCAACTATATGCTATATATGTTTCCAGCTAATAGCGTTGCCTTGGAAAATAGCCTGAGACAGATTTCGTGAAGTTATCTTATCAACTGGAAATTTTTTCCATACAAAGACTTGCTTATGATCGGTCAGTTGCATGTCAACTATGTACATATGTGTTATAGTATTCCGATCTGTTCAATATGTTCTACGATCTTAGCATTGTCTAAGAAAATAGACTTTGCAAAATTTCGTTAAGATATGCTGCTCAATTAGAGAGTTTTCTTATAATAATTTGATTTCGAACGATGAGTTTGTATACAGCTGCCATAGTCGTCCGATACCGGTGGAAAAAATTTTSTTTGAAAGAAAATTTCAAATAATTAATTTTTGTTGCATAGTGTCTGTTTGAGTTGTTTATTAACTTGTTACTTGTAATTATTTTTATTAAATCACTGTCGCTCCCATGCACAAATGAAACAAATGAAGTGGAGGTGTTCGYTTGAGTATGCATACATACATATATGTACATATATACACACTTAAGTGTGTACTACAATAATTTACACTATTATACATATGTGTTTGTTAATGGGGAATTTTTTTGGCTTAGTTAAGGCACCTATTACAATTAGAAACCACTTTCGATAGTTAAAAAGTACACKGGAAATGTGAATGAAAAAATAAAAGGTTTCGGCAAAATCAATTTATTTTWTTCAAAATAGTCTCCTTCTACTTCAATAAAGCTTTTTGCACGGTCTAAAAGCAAGTCGAACGAGCGTTTTAGCTCGTTTGCCGGTATSGCCGCCAGTATACCGATACAAGCCTTTTGAATRGCCKCYACGTCTRCAGAACGCTTTCCTTTCATGAGCAAATGCATTTTTCCGAAAAGGACGAAGTCGCACGGTGCCATATCAGGTGAATATGCGGAGCGGTTARTGGTTAAAATCTGATTTTTGGTCAAATAATCGTCCTTCGAATGTTGGATTCTGAGCAATTTTTGGTCGTCAGTCAATTTGTGCGGAGCAAATCATGCGCACACCTTTCGTAAGCCCAAATGTTCGGTCAAAATTCGATAAATCGATGCTTTGGAGATGTTCAATTCCATTTCCATAAATACCAATGATGATTTCGGCTGATATTTGATGAATTTACGCACAGTTTCGATGGAATTTCCAGTGATCACGGATTTTGATTGGCCCACATGTGGATCGTCATTTATGTCCTGACGACTTAATAACTTCACTTTCAAGCGATGAAATGACAGTCGATAAAGATAGCAGATTCTAACGCACCAGTCGACGTATACATCGATGTTGCCACCAGGAGGCGCTAGATTCAAAAAGTCGTGTTTACTACGGAAGCAACTCATGATGTTTTGCTCTAAGTGATCTAAAAATAATAATAAAACCAATAATAAACTGTCTTTTTATAATAGCTCAATAAGGTGATGTGAGGGAGTCAAGGGCACAACTACCATCTCGAATTATATTTGCTGTTGATAATTTCATCCGAATCGTTAAGATTCTAAAAAGTGATGAGATATCGCATTATGTGATGTAAATCATATGATGTGATGTACATTAGTGTGATTTTATATAAGATCATCTGACTTAGTGTTAGTGCATGAGATTTAATATTATATCATTTATTGAGTGATATTTTGATGCGATATCATATGATGTGAAGTGATATAACTTCATATCATAATATCATGTGATGTAGTATTTTCCTAATTAGTCGATCAGAATTAAAAATGTAGTTATGATAAATAAGTTATATAATTTTATGTAACGAAGGAGGTTTTAGTTTTATATTCAATGTCTGTCTTTCGAAAATCATAACCACACTGTTAATTATAATGATATTAAAAATCGGGGGATTAACAAAAATTATAATTTATCATAGTGTGATTGTAGCTCAATAGGGTGATGTGATAACTTTTTGGTAATGTGAACGGTGATAATATTAAATAATGTGATTTTCTAAAGATTGATGAGATGTCGCATCATGTAATCTGATGTACGGTCATGTGAGTTGATGTAAGATCAACTGATTAATATTAATTAACAAGATCATGTGATGTGTAGTTATATCATTTATTGATGCGAAATTATATAATGTGTGGTGAAATAATTTAATGACATTTAATGATAAATGATGATGTCAAATTGTGGAAGCTCAAAATTTCAATAYAGGCAATTARCGCTATCAACCCTTTATRCAGRTGCCGCAGACATGATGTAAAAGCCTGTTAAACTTTATGTATAGACACAAACTCTTTTTTCTAGCCGAAAATAATTGTATTAATTTAGCGCATATAATAATTTTCTTCAACAAAAATATGACGAACTTTTCTCCGTGTGGTTTCGAAACTCGTTCACGCATGCGTGCACGCACACCTTTTTCGCTGCAGCATAACGCTCTCCACTTCCACTGTCACTGGCAATAAGCCAAATCGATTGGTGGGGACATTGTGGGCTCAGAAGTGAGTAAAATAAACTCGTTCGACAAACAACTGGGGATATGAGTAACTAGAATGTAAGCTATATATGTAATCGTATGTTAGTGAATTTATGWWWTGWAWTKKAATGCAAAAAATAAAGGGTGAGASCATCTGAGYAGAGGTTAAAATACTACAAATTTTCCTTAAGCTTCMTTAGTGAATGACWAAGGAAAAATCAGCATCACAGTCGGACATTCTCTAGAGTCACGCCTGAAGGTTGTATAAACTACAGATTATAATTTTCACATAAGGCTGATTTCTAGATTTAACACAATATGTTTTTATTGCTTAAAGTTTCTTATGAAACCTGAAAAGGGGTTATTAATTTCTGGTGGTTTTTTCTACAACTGGGCTGTGTCTTGGATAAAAGATAGTATGGTGTAAGGTCTAAACTTCTCTTATCGAAAATAAAATCCAGATTTTGAATACTTTACCGCTGTTCAGAAAAAAATAGTTCTATAAACTTTCCTCCTCCCAAATTTCATCTCATGTAATAGTAAGCCATACCATGCTTAAGCCCCGAGAATTGTCAACTTAGCGGCGATGTCGATGACGCAGCAYCGTTTATTACTGTTTAAGAATATTTACTTTCAGCGCAATGACAGAGCAGAGAACAGGTGGACGGACAAACGGATGACTGACGAGGAGGACTGGTTTTAATACGCAGCAAGTTTTTAAACTGTTTACAAAAGTTTCGAAATGTATTTTGATAYAATTTGAATTCAACAGTATAGAACTATGTATGTATATGCATACGTACATATATATAAAAGCATTTTTAAGTGTAGTATATGAAATTATATACTATTTTCCTTTTGTATTATTGTTATGATTTTTTTACGACTGCGTTTGCTGGAATAATCGGAATTCTTTGGCGGTGTGTCGTTGGAAGTTTTTATAACGCGGCGCACAGCTGCCGTGGGCACAGTATATTCTAAGCAACAAGCGCGTATACACGCATGCGCAGACAAAGTATGAATAACACTTACAAAACCAAGCTATAAAAGACACCTACGTGCAAAAAAAGCTTATAAATACAAACGTACATATGTAAATACGTTCAGCCCACAGCCTATAGGCAACTTGTGTGCACCTGAGACAATATTTAAAAATAATCCAAATAMAAATCAGCACATTGGCACGCGATTTTGGGTGCGAGRCTTCAGCTGTCATGCTTGAATTTCTATTAAACACCGCTAAGTGATTGTGGCTAATGAATAATTGAAAAATTTGAACGTTTAAAGGCGAAAAAGAGAAAAATACCGAAAATATTCGAAAAACGTACACAACTTCATAGACGAACGTTTGTGAATTTTCCACTTGAGCGCCTCACACAGCCAGACATACACTCATACATACATACATACATACATACGCTCGCGCATTCGCCAGCCAAACAAGACAACGCGCCGCTGCAACTTGTGCCACAGTGAACAATCAGCAGCAGCCGCAACAGTAGTCATCGTCGATAAGCGGCAATCGCAAACGCGTACAGTGAAAACTGCAAATTGTTTACCGTTATTTTAGCAAGTTTTGCTTTTTAATTGCCAGCGCTTTGTTGGGTGCGCGAGAGTGTGAGTAAGCGTGAGAAAGCGCGTAGTGTTTTAGTTTCCAACGGCAGCCAGTCCGTAGTCACTGACATAGATTCGGTGTGTTGCCGGTAAAGCAAACATTCACAAGATCATTGTCGAACGCAACAAATAACAGTGAGTGCATGATTTTAGCTAAACGCACACGCGCAGTAGAAAGTGAAATGAAGATGCAGCTATTCGTGTCCTGTCTAGTGTTGATCAGTGTGGTGTTGGGTTGTGGGTTGGCGGCAAGTGCTTCCACTGTGGGTCTCTATGCACCAGATCGCTATGATGGTGAGTGAAAAATATAAAATATTTGTGAATTGTTTTTTTTTTTTCACAAAAAAATGTAGGTAAACAAGAAACAAGTGCAATTGCTGCATTGGATATGCAGAAATGAGTTGATTGCTAGCGGAATATGTTATTTTCGAACGCAACCGATATGTGAACCAGTTTTATATTGGGTAAATTAACATATTATATTGAAAGAATACAAAAAGCATTAGTTGAGGCATATACAAGAGTTGTTATTAAAAGCAATTTTCAAAATCCTGTTTGTAAGGCAGTTTTCCAAAAAGTAAACAAGAAAAGAGAACATTTTTTTTCGAAATACTGTTTGCAAGGTTGGGTAAAATGAAATTAATAAAAGTTTAAAAAATATTTAAAAACTGGAAATTTT